AGGAGGGAGGAGGGAGGAGAGAGGAGGAGGAAGGAGGAAGGAGGAAGGAGATAGAGGAAGGCATCTCACTTGGTCTGTAGTAGGGCTGTAGAAGTTCACCAGTCGCCAGGATTCTTTCTCTTGCTGAAAAGAGCAGCAATGTCAGAAGCCAAACCTCCTCGTCCTCCTCGATCTCCTTCCGCTTCTCGATCTTTCCCTCCTCCTCCTCCTCCTCCTGTTCCTGCTCCTCCCCCTTTGGTTTTCATCTTCCACTTTCATTTTCCCCTTCAGCAACAACATGTTCAACTTTCATCTTCATCTTCTCAAAATGAAAGTAGAAACTCTCTCGACAACCCCATCGTCACCAGCAACACAGGCCAACAACAGCAGACTATTCGAGCTCAATGAACTAAATCACTTGCGCAAACAGCTGAAAATTCCCCGCAACGGAGCAAGACATTCACATGAGCTCGTCTTCAGCTCCAACACGATTCACTTCACCTGTTCTCGCATGTAGCCATAGGATGACTTGCGAATCTCTCTCGCTCTCTCCGTCTCACGCTTGCTCACACGGACCTTGCTCCTGACCGTCAGCTCGGCAGGGAGGAAGTTGAAAGTTTCTCACCTGGACCACTTGCTGCATAGGCTCGTTGTCTGACCCCGAGCCGTCGTCCATCATATCCTCCACTGAGGAGGAGTTGAGGGAGAAGGAGGTGGTGGTGGAGGAGGAGAACAAGGAGGAGGAGGAGGAGGAGGAGGAGGAGGAGGAGGAGGAGGAGGAGGAGGAGGAGGAGGAGGAGGAGGAGGAGGAGAAAAAGCTGGTGATGATTCGGAGAGAGAAGGAGAAGGAGAGAGTAGGAGGATAAAAGGGGACAAAGGAAAGGGATGAAGTGGGCGTGAAGAAGGGGATAGCAAAAAAGCCATATGGATGAGGAGGAGGAAGGAGGAGAAAGGAGGGCAAAGAAGGAGAAAGGAGGAGGAGGAGGAGGAGGAGGAGGAGGAGGAGGAGGAGGAGGAGGAAGTATCAAACGTCAATCATCCAACCCTCAATATCATTTCAATTCACCTTTCACAGCGGGAGCGGCAGCCGCGGCCGCCTCAGCATTAAGGACATCTTCCTCATCCTGCCCAGACAAAATGAGCCGCGCGATTTCACTCAGCTCTTGCCTTGTTGTCGAAGCGCGGCCTGAACTGATAGATGCTCTGAAGGGGAGTGAGATGGAGCTGGTCGTCTCTCAACAGCCCGATGGCGTAGGAGGTTCTTGGGATGACCTGCCCTCACGTCAGCTGAGTGGGTTGGAACGGGAGAGGAGGAGCAGGGGCAGGAGGAGAGCAAGAGCAACAGCAGAAACAAGGGGAGAGAGAGGAGGGGCAGGGGCAGGGGCAGGGGCAGAAGAGGTCACCTTGGACGATACCAGCTTGTGCAGAAACTCACTGAGAAATCCGGTCAGTACGCAGTTACAGATAATTTCAATACGTCGTCATACGTAGTCATTAGATCATTTCAAACCATCATTTCAAGATCTCATATCAGTATATCTTACATCAATGTATCATGTATGAGTGTATCGCGTACGAGCGTATCTTATGTCAGAATTGTGAATAACGTATGAGCACACCACGTTGTAAAACCATGTCATTATTCCACTCAGTGAGTCGAAGCAGTGACTGTACAATATGGATCCGATCATCAAACTTTCCTTCCCTTGCACATTTCTTCAAAACATGCATCTTCAACATCAAAGGAGCGTTTCAAGCACAAACAGCACGGGGAAGAACAATCGCGCTCACTCGTTCGTTTTTTCACTCTTGAAGTCCATCTCAATCATCTCGTTCTTCGGACGGTAAGACACCTGAACTCATGTTCACCTCCACGTCTTACTCATCAGCGCTCTAAACCTCCTCCCCTCCCCCCTCCCTTCCTCCTCGTCCTCCTCACACACTGAACCCGCCCACCTTCTCCAGGTTCCATCCTTCATTCAGCGGCCTCCACTTAGGGCGCAGAGGGTACTGAGGAGGAAGAGCGGTGAGAGCACAGTCAAGGTTGCTCACCAGTAGCTGCTGACCCTCTCCCTCTCTCCTCACCTGGAATAGCATGACCTCGTCCGATTTGCCGCTGCTGTCACGAACACCCGACAAGTTCTGGCAGGAGGAGGGAGGAGAGGGGGAGGGGGATCAAGTCAGCATGGGCGAAACCCCTTCATGCTCCCATTCACCTGCGACAGAAACACGTCGATAGTCTGGACAACCTGTCCAAGGATCAGCTGCCAGCATCTATAGGAGACATCAATGGCAGTACGGGGTCGTCTTCATCGTCGCTATCGTAGATGTCCATGACCTCCGCCTCTCCCCTGCACTCTGAAAGTAAGATCCTCCTGCTCGAGCACTCAGTGGGCGATCCTCTGCCCTCCTGCACCCCACCCGCCTCCTCCCGCCCTTCCCTCCCATGCTGCCCAACGTTTTCCACCTGTACCACTCCTACCTTCTCGCATCTACCTTGCTCTCATCCTTCCTCCCTTCCTCCCTTCCGCCATCTCTCCATCTCCATCAAACCCTCCCTCCTATCCTCTGCCCGCACCCGCCATCCTCCTCCTCCATCTTGTCTCCTGCCTCTCCTTTCCGTCTCCGTTCATCCCCTCCGCTCCTTGCTCGCCAGGTCCTGCATGTGCATCTGGAAACAGGGGGGTAGGGGTAGCAGAATGAGCCTTTGAAGATACCCAAGAAGGGGTAAGTTAGCCTTTAAAAATTGGGGTAGTAAAAGCGAATCAATTCAGGAGGGGGTAGGGTGGGAAGCAGGGAGATCCGACCATGCTGGGAGGTTCAGGGAGGCGGCTGGTGCTGCTGCTGCTGCCTCTGCTTCCTCTTCCTCCACACCAGGGCCCCTCAGCTAGCCCGATGAGGATGACGATGAGGATGACGATGACGAGCTCGAAGGCCCTTCTCTCCCGCCCTTCTAGTCAGTCTCCTCTACGATGTGTCCGTAGCAGGTCGGAGATGCTGGGGTCAGGTACAGCAGCATTGGCGGATTCGCTGCTTCCTTTGAGAATCTGCGAAGTTTCTTCTGGCATGCCATCAGTTGTCTTGAATGGCTCGTGCTCTCTTGATCTGACCGACCTCAAGGCCCTTCCCTTGACTGACAGCTTCCAACAAGACCCCTCTAAACATTTGGATTTGTGCGCAAATGTTGTAAAGTTCCAGCGAGGATCTGGAGAATCAAGCAAGATGGATCGACAAGACACAAGCATTGATGTTCTGAACCGCTTCTCCTTGAGATTCTTGGCCAAGCCGCTCCGTGGTTATGGCAGACCAGGTTCGTTCGATTTACTAGATTGTTGAGATGTTGAACTTTCGATCTCACAGATAGAAGCAGACCAAGAGCAAGAAAGACTTGGAAGCCTCAGAAGTCATCGCAACAATCAGAACCTGCTCGACGGGCTCGACCGGATCGATGGGGAGATTTCAAGGAAGATCGAACCGAAGTCAAAGATGAAAAAACACTGAGGACTGAGGTCAACGTAGCTCTGTACGGCCGGCGGTATCTGAGGAAGGACTTCACATTCCCAGAGTACAGCCCTTCAGAAGTGCAAGAGATCGATGTGAATCTTGACAGGACGACGGTGCGTGTCGACGGCAAGTTTGACAGGACGGTGGTATTACAGAACGTTGTAAAAGCCAACCACAGCCTAATTAGAGACTTCTTCTCCAAGGCCGGATTGATCGAGTCGATTGTGGAGAGGAGGAATGCTACTGCTGTCATCTTTCAGGATGATGAATCAGCATTCAAAGCCGGTCAGATGGACATGCTGCCGCTTGCTCACGGGTTGAAGATGAGTCGGGTAGTTCCGGGCAACCTGCAAGCAGAGGAAAGGAGAAGACTGGAGAGAGGGTCTCGCAAGCCTGCAGTGTCCTCCTTGGACTCCAAGGGCTCTAAGTCATTGCAGCGAATGGGGAGAGGAGAGGACGGAACGAAGACAACGGGAGTCGTGAAGGGGCGGGAGGCGTCGACGGAAGGTGCGGAGGCGAGGACGAGAAGGAGGAGCGGTGTGCTTGGAAGGGAAAGTATAGAAAGTAGGGAGGAAAGGAGTAGACTTATGCAAAAGAAGGTGGAGAGGAGGACAGCAGACAAGGGAAGAAGAACGGTACAGGGGATGACAGGGAGGGCAGGATTAGCTGCCAGGAAGGGAGGGAGGTGGGGAGAGGCGCGAGGTAGGAGAGGAGGTGCACTGGGGGCACGGGGGAGGAGTGAGGGAGTGCAGGGGAGAGGAGGGAGGATAAGAGTAGCAGGACAGAAGAGGATGACAACAACGGGAAGAGGAGAGAGGGGTAGAGTGCAGGCAAGGGGTGAGAGGAAGGGAGGAGGGCAGTCGAGGGGCGAGAGGAGGGGAGGTGAGCGGGGACAGCGAGTGAAGGGCCCGGTTGGACGACTAAGAGGAGGAGGAGGATCTTCCAGTGAAAAGGAATCATCACGACACAGACGAGGGCGCAAGAGATCGAGAAAGTCCCCGAGAGAGGAGCAGCTGTCTTCCGCAGAAGAAGGAGGAGCTTCAGGGTCCGAAGTTCTTCCTGTCGACGAGGACGAGAGCGTCAGTACCCTTGTCTTTAGCAGCGACATGGCCAGTGATGAGATGAGGAAGCGGGTGAACGAGCATGACAAGGCCAAGGAGCGGGAGAGGACGGGGAGGATGACGGAGGATGAGAGAGCGAAGGAGCTGCTGGGGTATCTCCACGGACACATGCACGAGAAAGCCAAGGAGCTCAAGATCCGGGGAATCTCAGCGGATGCGGAAAGGATGAGGAGGCTGTTCGGGGAAGGGAAACACCAGGAGTCTGTTCAGTTCTCCCGTGACTCATCCCCGGTAGCCTGGAGAGTGGACGGGGATAAGCGCTACCCCGTCTATCCTGGCTACGAAGACTTTGATCCTTACATTGGGCCCAACGGTCTGCAGGAGCTGATCAATCGAGAGGGGATCGACTACACCTTCGACGAGGGGAGCACGAGCGCGGACAACAGCGACGTCGAGCTGATGGACCTGCTGAGAGGAATCAACCACTCGGAGGCCCCCAAGAGGAGGACACTTGCTCGGGGCTGGCCAATGTCTGCTATCAATGACACGCGACCTATTGGGACCCGTTGGGTCGACACCAACACGAGGTTCGCTGATAACTTCAAGTTCCAAAAGAACTCCAAGAAGTACTAGTACCATACTATGAAACGACGTGAGAAGACTCGCCAAACGGGCGCTAGTTACTATCAGCACACCATGAACTGACAGCAACAATCTTATTAGTGAATTGTTTTTTTAACTTGTGACGGCGAAATGCCCCCGCCGTGCCACTGGGCCAACCTCAAACCGTCTGAGCCACTGAAGTAACTAGTAACTTGTAACTTGCCAGACTCACGGTGAATCATCATACTGCCAGTGAGTGTCTGCTACCGCAGCCATAACTTGCCGCAGTGCCTGTCACTGACTGTAGAGCCTTTCGAACTTCCGACCGGTGATTCAGTGATTCACCGTGCACAGCGACTCAACCGTTGAAAACGCGGGCCTGCCCATTTAGACGCCGGAGAGTTCAAACCCGCAGTTCACCCCTCATTCAACGGTCGGAGTCTCCCGGAGTCAACGGGCCCCCGGCTGACTCCGCGAGCGCCGTTCTCCGGGCTGAGCGCACACTGCCGGGCCCCGCCAACTTCTCGGAAGTTCCGACCGGCTCCGAGGCTCCGGCGTCGGGGCCCCGGGCCCCGACGCCGGGCCCGGCTAGGCTCTGAGCACCGGCGTGCCAGGTGACTCACTCCCGGCAGGCCGCCAAAGGTTCTTTTTACTTTTACAGGAAAAAAAATCGGCCCAGCAAAACCGCATGTGCTCCCATGCTGGAGGGTGCGGGGGAGGCGGAGAGTGTGGCAGCGGCAGCGGGGGAGGAGGAGGAGGAGGATCAAGAAGAGGACAAGGAATCGATGAAGGTGGGATGAAGCCCGTGTCATGAGGATCTCTGGGGATGCTCTAATGGAGGGCGCATGCATCCCTCGCTTATTCTTCTTCAAGCTTGTTCAGTGCCTACCTGCCTCCTTGATGCAGCCTGACGCAGCCTTGTCACTGACACCCGTCGATCTCAGAGTTCTCAAGCATCTCCCTCCAACCATCGTCGAACCTCTGCTTGAAATGTCAGGCTCCTGCAAAGTGCAAGTGAGCAAATGATCTTGCACTGCAACGCTTTTCATGTCTTGTCAGTCCTCGAGGAGAACTACTTTGTTGGCCATGCCTGTCGAAGTCGCTGAACAGGTCAGTATGTATCCACCTTCTGATTCTTGATCCCTCATGTTGTCAACCCCGTCGCTACAAGTCACTCGACATGTCAGGGGCATTCGCAATCAGTTCAGCCGAGCCCGGTGCTCTTCTCCCCAAGAGAGGTGACAACAAGCACAATTGAGCACGTCCTTCCTCCCTCCTTCGCCTCCTCTCCTCCTTATCCTCTCTCCTCTCTCCTCTCCTCTCCTCTCGCTCCTCCCTCCCCTCACCTCTCTCCTCTCTCCTCTCCTCTCTCCTTTCCTTTCTCTCCTATCCTCTCTCCTCTTCTCGCTCCTCTCCGATCTTTTTCTTTCTCTCACCTTATCTCCTTAGATTCCTTGTTGCGTTCTCGGGAGGAGCACATTCATTAGCCCTTGCTCTGCTCCTGCGCCAATGTCTTCAAGGTATCTGCGCTGCCCCACCCTGCCCTGCCCTGCTCTGCCCTGCCCTGCCCTGCTCTGCTCTGCTCTGCTCTGCTCTGCTCTGCTCTGCTCTGCTTTTCTTTCACCTCAACTCGGTTGTTCGCAGATCTTCGAGGAAGAAAGTTTGAAGTTCATTTGGCGCACGTGGATCAGACCGATGCATGTGGAATGAGCGAGGAGGAGGGCAAGGTGAGAGGACATGGCGACGGTGGAGCTGGTGCTGAGTTGCTAGAGTGAAGGAGAGGAGAGGGGCAGAGGAGAAGGAGAGAAGAAGCAGAGGAGAGGAGAGGAGGGGAGGGGAGAGGAGAGGGATAGAGGAGAGGAGAGGAGGAGGGGGAGAGGGAGGGGAGAGGATATAGGAGAGGAGGGGAGGAGGAGAAGGAGAGGGGAGAGGAGGGGAGGTGGAGGAGGGGAGGAGAGGGGAGGGGAGGAGAGGATATGAACGTCTTTACATCAACAGGAATTCATCAGCAAGGTTGAGGATCTAGCTAGTCGGACGGGCTTCTCTCTCTCAGTCCTGAAGCTTCCTGGTTGATGTCGCACGTCTCGCCTCCTCTCCTGACCTGCTGCAAGACATGACAAGCGGAGTGCTACGAAAGAAGCTGAGGGAGTTTGAGGAGAAGCCAACACTGTTGAGGTGAGAGGAGGGGAGAGAGGAGGAGAGAGGAGAGGGGGGAGGGGGAGAGAGAAGAAACGAAACGAAGCAAGGATGGACCAGAGTGAGAGCAGGAGGAGCAGGAGGAGCAGGAGGAGCAGGAGGAGCAGGAGGAGCAGGAGGAGCAGGAGGAGCAGGAGGATGGCGATGCAGATCATGACGGTGATACGATTTTCGTTGCAGCACGGGGGAAATGACAGCGACCAAGTGGGAGGATCTGTTGGCGCGTAAAAGGATGGAGGTCCTGTGCGACTTTGCAAGGTGACAAATGAAACGAGGAGGAGGAGGAGGAGGAGGAGGAGGAGAAGGAGCAGCAGCAGCAGCAGCAGCAGCAGCAGCAGCAGCAGCAGCAGCAGCAGCAGCAGCAACAGCAGCAACAGCAGCAGAACAGCAGCAGGAGAATGCAGCATGAGCAGCAGGAGCAGGAGCAGGAGCAGCAGCAACGAGGGTATAACCGTTGACGAGAGTTGTAGCACAAACGGGCACACGCGACTAGCGTTGGGAGACAGCGCGACGAGGCTGGCGACGCATGTGATTGCGGAGACAGCGAAGGTGAGAAAGGGAAGGGGAGGAGGGCAATGAAGAGAAGAGAGGAAAGGGGAGAGGAGAGTTTTGTTGGGAGGAAAGGGCAGGGAAGGGGAGGACAAGGGAGGGTAAGGGAGCGGAGCGGAGCGGAGGACAGGAGAGGGGAAGAAGATCTGAAGGAGGGAGCAGGGCAGGTCAATCAACTCAAGGAGGCTGAAGTTGACGTCCTCGATCAAGGTAAGGATGCAACATGATGTTTGATCTCCTTCCTTTCCTTCCTGTCAGAGATGCTCTCCCTGCTCTCCCTCCTCTGCTCCTCTTTTTGCCGACCGTTTCTTGCCTCCACCACCAACTCCTCCTCGTCCTCCTCGTCCTCCTCGTCCTCCTCGTCCTCCTCGTCCTCCTCGTCCTCCTCGTCCTCCTCAACTTACTCGATGCCTCCTCCGCACCTCTTCCTCTCTCTTCCTCTTTCTGAGAGGACGGAGCAGCATCAAGGACGTTCCATCAGTCTCGTCCGACCAGGTTGCGACTTTCTCTCGGAGGAAATTTTCTTCTTCCTTCATGTAGAGCAAGTTTCTCCGGTGATTCTTCACTCCTCTCTTCTCTTCTTCACTTGAACTCAC